AACCTGGTCTAGTGGAAGGTGTCCCTGCCCATGGCAGGGGGGTTGGAACTAGATGGTCTTTAAGGTCCCTTCCAACCCAACCATTCCATGATTCTATAACTTGTAACCCCATAGGAGGGACCCACACAGGAGAAGTTTGTGAAGAACTGCAAGCCGTGGGAAGGGCCCACATTGGAGAAGTTCATGGAGACCTGTCTCCCATGGGAGGGACCCCACACTGGAACAGGGGAAGAGTGTGAGGAGGAAGGAGTGGCAGAGACAATGTGTGGTGAATTGACCACAACCTCTATTCCCCATCCCCCTGCGCTGCTCAGGGGTAGGTGGTAAAGAAAATTGGGAGCAAAGTTGAGCCCAGGAAGAAGAGAAAGGTGGGGAGAATTGCTGAATGATATCTTCCTGTTCTTATCTCGACCCACAAGCCTTTTGTCATATTTTGTCTCCCCTGCCCAGCTGAGGAGGGCAGTGACAGAGCGCTTTTGGTGGGCACCTAGCATCCAGCCAGGGTCAGCCCACCACAAGTGCCAGATGTATTTACTGGCCACAGGAAGACCAACTTCTCTAGGAAAGCAACTTTTCCAGATGTATCATTGGATTGCCAGAAGAACTCACCACCACCCTCGCTCACAATAAAGCAGCAGAGACTTTAAGGTTCCTATTGCAACACACAGGAGCTTTTACAAGTCTTTATTCTGCTGGAATCACATCTCTTTCTGTGTGTCCAACAACCACCCTAAATATGAAACCTAAATCAAACACAAGTTTGGTTCAGGACCAAGGAGTTTTTCCAGGACGACCTGAAGCTTATATTCTTTTTCCCCAGTTTCACCGGTGTGAAAAAAAGAAATAACACAAACCTCATCTTACAAATGCTTAGACCATCACAACTGCAACCAACTTATGAGATACTGCAGCATTCACACAAAAAATGCAAATTAATTTAAATTTGCTCAGTATCACTGCCTTCATCCAGAATCATATTTAGGTAAATGAAAAAGAATGCTTCTGAGCTTTCTGATCTGTTGTTCAGTTAGTGTCATCACACAGACTGTTAGGATACAAGTATTTATAAAAATCTGACACAGAAATATTTTTTAATTGTTTTACTCTCCCCGTTGCTTCATGACTCTTTCAGACAGGCTTCTGGCAAAATAGCATAATATGTCAACTGTGTAACTACAGTGAGGTTGCATATTCACATTCTGAAGCAGCATCACATGAACACATTTATGCACCCCACACACTTCCGAAAACCTGGGGCTTCTTGCTCCTGTCCTGCACCCCCCTTTACGTCAGTACAGCTGTTTCTAAACTGAGAGCAAATCTGTGAAAGGAAACTAATTCAGGAAAAAATACCTTGAGACGCGGTGGAAATTTATTTCTCAACCATCTCAGGTCCCTCCTCTGTTGAGCCACTCTGTGTGACAGCACAGCAGAGGGAAGGGGCATTCAGGAATCAAGACTCTTTTAGGCACTAAGGCTACCAAAGAAAACTGCGGGGAACCATAGCCTAACCTACACTTTTAGGTACAGATTTAGAGATCTATTGCTTGAAAGCTTTTTTAACTTTCCTCTCCCTAAATTAGCTGCAGATGCAAAAAAGCTGTTAAACTCACTTCCAGTAATAGGCAGTAATCATAAATTGGTAGTGAGATATTACATGAAGCAGAGAGTTCAGTAGTAAAGCTCTACCATACCAGTGTAACAGATACAAAGTATGGACATTCTTTCACACATGAAGGCAATTTAATTTCTCAGATAGCTCAAAAAAACCCACCCTTTCAAGAATGTGCTGTCAACAGAAAACCAATGATAAATAAAAAGCATCCACACCTGGACAAAATGTTTGCAAAGAAAAAGCATTTATAGAGCCCTGTAATTCAAAGACAGAAAATCATCCACGTACACTGATCAAGGACCAGTTTCTTCCTTCAGGACTCTCGTACACACTGGGTTGCTTACAATGCAGAATATCTACAACACAGAACATCATGCAGAATGACTAGATTCAAGAACACAGAACTGCATGAATTTTATCCTTTGCT